GATTTCGCAGGTGGTGGAGATTGATGCAGCTCCACAGAGTCCAGATAGTGCAGTATCCATGAGAGTGCCGACTGAGGTGACGCCAGGCGAGCACGACGGTGATGCGGAGGATACGGGTACTCATGAGCAGGATCAGGGACCGACGGCTCAGGTTCAGGATTCTATTGCGGCACGGAGACAGAGGAGAGACATACGGGTGCCAGCACGGTATGCCGACACAGTTGCATATGCACTTCCGGTGGAGAGTATCGATGAGATGGTGCCTACTACATTCAGAGAGGCCGAGCAGAGTTCGGAGGCTGATTCGTGGCAGGTGGCTATGCAGGAGGAGATGGAGTCTCTTCACAAGAACGATACATGGGAGCTTGTAGAGCTTCCAAAGGGGCGGAAGGCGATTGGGTGCAAGTGGGTGTACACGAAGAAGGAGGGCATTGAGGGCACTCCAGTGAGGTTCAAGGCTAGGTTGGTTGCGAAGGGCTATGCACAGGAGGAAGGTATTGATTACAATGAGGTTTTCTCTCCGGTGGTGAAGCATTCGTCGATTCGGATTTTGCTAGCTTTGGTGGCACAGTATGGATTGGAGTTAGATCAGTTGGATGTGAAGACAGCATTTCTTCATGGTGATCTTGATGAAGAAATATATATGACTCAGCCATTGGGATTCCGAGCTGCAGGGAAAGATAAGTTGGTTTGCAGGCTAAAGAAATCGCTATACGGTTTGAAGCAGTCTCCTCGACAGTGGTATAGGCGATTTGATGGTTTTATGCTTGGTCATTCGTACACTCGGAGCCAGTTTGATCCTTGCGTGTATTTTCGCAAGTTGAGAGGAGGTGCGTACATTTATTTGTTGCTTTATGTCGATGACATGTTGGTTGCTTCTAGTTCCAGGTCAGCTATAGATGAGTTGAAAGTTCAGCTTTCGAATGAGTTTGAGATGAAGGACTTGGGCGAGGCGAAGCGCATTTTAGGGATGGAGATCGGCAGAGATAAGAAGAAGGGCAGGATTTGTTTGACACAGGTGGCTTATTTGAAGAAGGTTCTACAGCGATTCCATGTTAGCATGGATACGAAGCCAGTTTGTGTACCGTTGGGAGCCCATTTGAAGCTTTCAGCTGGCCTTTCACCGAAGTCAGTTGAAGACCGTGAGTTGATGACGAAGACTCCATATGCGAGCGCAGTTGGGAGCTTGATGTACGCGATGGTATGTACGAGGCCGGATTTGTCACAGGCAGTGAGCATGGTGTCGAGATACATGCACGATCCAGGAGTGGGTCATTGGGACGCCGTGAGATGGATTTTGAGGTACATTAGAGGTACGCTCAATGTTGGTTTGGTTTATGAGCGGGACACTACAGGTGGGCAGCTATGCATTGGCTATGTTGATTCGGATTATGCCGGGGATTTGGATAAGCGCCGGTCTACTACGGGGTATGTGTTCACTTTGACCCGTGCGCCGGTGTGTTGGAGATGCACCTTACAGTCTACGGTGGCTTTGTCTACGACGGAGGCAGAGTATATGGCGGTTACGGAGGCTGTGAAGGAGGCTATTTGGCTTCGAGGACTTTTGGAAGAACTTGGTATATCGCAGCGATCCGTCACTATTCATTGCGATAGCATGAGTGCTATATATTTGGCGAAGAATCAGGTTTTTCATGCGAGGACGAAGCACATTGACGTTCGTTATCACTTCGTTCGGGATGTTCTTGAAGATGGCGATGTGGAAATTGTGAAAGTCCACACGAAGGATAATCCGGCAGATATGCTCACTAAGGTGGTTCCGAGCAACAAGTTTGATCATTGTCGAAACTTGTTGCACATTCGTAATTGTTGAGGCCGTTGGCGGCCATTTGGATGAACTACGGGCGGCTTGATCCCTTGGGAGAGGGGGTACGTAGGCAACCGCATTGGTGCAGCCGAGTTTAGAGAGACGACACATTAAATCAGGAAAAGAATCAGAAAAACCAGAAAAACTGGCATAAGTCGACTCATGCACTGTGCACGAGTCGACTTACGATCTGCAGCCGAATTGTGATTTTAGCCTCTGTCAAGTCGACTTAGCATGACTGTTAAGTCGACTTATGGCAAGTCGACTTAACAGTCTGTTAAGTCGACTTATGAAGTGTTCTCCAGTTGTTGATTTTCTCTCTGTCAAGTCGACTTGTGAGCTCTGTTAAGTCGACTTACGACGGGTTTTTTGCATACGTAGGTTTCCTATTTGCAGTCTGATTGGGGTTTTGTTTTGGTATAAATAGGGAAACGATTTGTGAGGGTTTTTTATCAGAGATTGAGGAATCTTTTGAGCATTGTGAGAGGGAGATATTGTGAGCAAGGTGAGATCTTTGGTTGAGGGTTAGTTTGAGAGAATTTGTGTGATTGTAACCCTTTGTACTCTCCTTGATTTAGTGAAATCTCCCCATCCTCTCCCCGTGGACGTAGGCAAATTGCCGAACCACGTATATCTCTGTGTTTGGATTGATTTGGCTTTATTGGTTGGATTTGTGCAAGAGTTTGTCTTTCTTCTACTCGTGATCACAGGTTCGTTGTGAGTTCGTGCAAGGCTTCCGCAAAGGCGCGCGACAATAATGTCTTTATATTCTATTGCTACACTTAACATTGCATAGGTAGAATTCCACCTATGGTCAACATCTTTTGGAATTAGTCTGGGATTTATATTTTGTTCTTTTACAAAATTATTTTCATCTTTTAAGTCTTTGTTCAGAAGCATTATGCATATAAGCAACTGTTCTAACATTTTCTAGCATGGGTTTAATTTCAGTAAATACACTTTGAACAATTAAATTTAAAATATGACAGATACACCTATTATGAAAAAGATCACCATGATATGGTAATGACAGAGTTGATCTAATAAAATCAACAGCTACATTGTTATTACTTGCATTATCTAGTGAAAGAGAAAATATTCTTTCTGAAATTTTTAATTTCATAAGTTCTTTAATTATTAAATTTGTCACATTAATACCAGTATGTGACTCTTCTATTGCAATAAAAGAAACAACTCTTTTAAACATTTGCTAATTTTTATCAATCCAGTGTGCTATGATACATAAATATCCAGTTTGTGCTCTAGATATCCAAATATCAGAAGTTAAAAAAATTACAGTTAAATTTTTAAAATAAGAAATTATTTTTTCTTGTTCCTCCTGATAATATTTTAAAATATCACGTTGACAGGTTTGACGAGAATTTTTTTTAAATGTAGGATAAAAACCATCTCTAAACATATCTTCAAATTCATCATCTTCTACTAATTTAAAAAGAATGTTTTTAAGAATGATAAACCTGATTACGCATTTCCTGACTCTGGCAGCGTCATAGTTCCAACTACCGAGACTACCAGAAGAGGAGGATTGAGAAATCATAAATTGTCGGATATCACCTTGAGGAGTCTGACCTTTGTTGTGTTTATCTAAATGGCGTTTGAGATGGTTGGTGTCGCTCTTATGATGAGCTTAAAAAATCTTGCCGCACAACGCACACTTAGCCTTCTGGGTGAGGATCCTACTGTGTTCATCCTTGGTGACATCGATCTTTTCGTAAAAATTCCACACATCGGATCTTGACCTTTTAGGAGCTCTTGGTGCAGATTCGTCGCCATCGGATTCGGGATTAACATCGGTAGGAGTAGACCTGATAGGAGGACTCATTTCAAGATCGGGAGATAGGGAGATAGGTTTTGCTCTTCATAATCAGATCCGAAAGTCATTTGATGAAAGGATTAGAAAGTATAAGAGAGTATAAGAGTATAAGAGAGTATAAGAGTATAAGAGAGAAGTAGATGAGTTTTGGTGTGAAGAAAACAAATAAAACCCCCCCTCTATTTATTGAGCCAGCCTCCTAAACAAATGATCAAAATAACCTCACAAAATAGCCATTTTTTGACCGTTTTTGGGGACAAAATGATCAAAAGGCCGTTTTATGGCCGTTATGACCGGGCCGGCCCGGCCCGACCTATTTTGGCAACGGTCACCTATGGTAACCGTTGCCACCGGGCCGGGCTCTAGGCCCGAGCTGCCTGGCCCGGATTTTTTCCCGGCGCCAGCGCTGTTCCGGGCCGGGTGCCACTGAGGCAACCCGTACCCGGGCTCGGAACCCGGACAGGCTCGGATTTTCGGACCGGGCTCCGGGCTGGGCCAGGGCCGGCGGGCTTTTTGGACAGGCCTAGGTAAATATTTCATCCTGTAATACATGCGAGAAGTTTCATGTAAGAAAATTCTAATAAGAAAGGTAGACATATAACAAAAGAAAGTTATAAATCGGAAGACATTAAGATCAGTTTGACAAAATCTTTAAGATTAATCATGGTTTAGATTTTATCCTAAATTAGGTAAAAATTAGTCCATAGGAGGTGATTTGGAAAAGAACTAGTTTAAAACCCAAATTTTTGCTTGAAAAAAATGGGTCAGTTTTAATCAAAATGCAGTAACAAGCTAAACTAGGAGAGAATTAGTGCTAGCCCAGTATTTTTATGAAAGTTTGTTTGCGATCCTTGCATGTCACGTGTAACTCTGATGATCGCTAAAATTCTACCTTGTTTATACATACCTATCAAAACAAGGGGGTTTCGCATATATATATATATATCTCAGATCTTTTATATTTGCAAAATTACTCTTTACATCTTGGATATTTACAAAAATGCCCCCAAATTCTCTCACATTGATTGTTCTCTACCTCTTTGACTCACCAATTTCAGTGTTTAAGCAGGTAATTATTGCAAACCCGTTGAAAATTATTCAGAGTTTTGACATTGCCTTGTTTAAAAAGCAACATTCTTAAGTCGGAGGGGCAGAAAGACCCAATATGCTAGTTTTGAAGGGCAGCTTTATAAATATCAACATTTTGGGGAAGTTTGAAAATATTGAAGATATGAGGGGTATACTATATATATGCAAAACCCCCAGGAAAAAAAAACTCTGATCACTTTCTCTCTCCTATATATCTCTCCACGTTTCATTACAAACTGACCAAACGCTGAAACAAGAGACAAGGCGTCCGTCTCCAAGTGTTTCTTCCTTCTCTCTCTCTCTCTCTCTCTCTCTCTCTCTCTCTCTCTTCCCCTCTTCTTCTTGCTCATGGCACCTACAACCCAAGTAAACAAAAAAAAAAATATCCTGAATCTTTCAATTATTTCATCTATTTTTCCTTCAAATAACCTAATATTTCTTCATAATTTTCTTTGTTGTAGATCCCAGCCTCAAATGGGCATGAGAACAATGTATCGCCCCACAGCAACGCCAACGGTAAAGCCAAGGTCGCAAAATGCAATCCTGGCCTACTGCCGAATAGGCTCACTATAAGGGGAGTGGTAGGGGGTTTGCTAACATGCACCAACCAAGGGAAGAGGACTATCCCCCTTGCCGTCGGCGACGCCTCGTCCTATTCGCACCCCGCCGCTCGTCGGTAAGTCCATTTCTTCCACCCTCTGGACTATGAATCCTATCAGAACATTTTCTACGTATTTCTACGGCCTTAAGAGTATGAATCTTATCAGAACGCTTTCCATTTTATTATACAGTTTGGGGGTATGAATCCTATTAGAACTCTTTTTATATTATTTTACTGCCCTTCAATTTTGATAATTTTTACGTGTAAAGTGTATTGATAGCATTTATATTTTAAATTGCACTAGTTTTATTTTTATTTCCCCCCATGGTCAAGCATGCAATATATTATGTGGTACAAAGATTTCGGTCAGGGTTTTGGCATTTTCGTTGGCCGGTAGAAAATTATAGGCCTTGGCTTTCTTGTGCTTATCTAATGGTTGAGAATAATTCCGTGTAGATTTTGTTTTTTCTTTTCTTTTTTTTTTCTTCTTCTTCTTCTTTTTTTTTTTTATCGAAACATATATAGATGTTGGGCAATAGCAATTAAGGCAAATATTGAAAGGGTTTTAGAGGAAACATAAAAAGCTAAGGGTTACTTTATTATGCAGTATTTTAATCTGCGTCTGTCAGTCTATCTACCATAAATATTGAGCACTATATACATAGTTAACAATGTCTGATTAATATAAGACTTTTTGTTTTTGGGCTTTTATTGTCTTTTTATTGTGTATTTTTTTTTATTTGACTGAGAACGACTCTTGTCATTATGATATGAGAGAATCCATGACAAGTGTATTCATTTTGCTCATATGGGAAACTATAGCGTAATAAATAATTTTAAGATAAATATTGCATCTTGTGGGGCCCAAAACAAGGCAGTAGTTCTTTTTTCCTTTTTCAGTGCAATCACACGTGCATTGTAACTGCATCAACAGCTCTCATATAGCCATAGCCAGGCTGCCATACTTATGTGTCAGCAGAAAGCCAAGCAACGTGAACACCATTTGTTTTGCTAAACACCATTTGTTTTGCTACAGGCATCCAAAATATGGGACCAACATGATGACAGGTGAGGTGTCCTCCTCCTATTGCATAATGAACTGACCATCATTAATGATGACCAGATCATTATGCAATAGAAGGGAGACAACTCACATGTCCCTCTGTTGGTCCCATATTTTGGGTCCTTGGGTAATTTTTCCCATTTTATTAACTAGTTACCTGCAAACAATGACAGCTTTGCGAGCTTATCTCCAAATAAAAATCTAAAATCAATCAAGCCATAAAAAGGTCCAACGTAAAAAAAAATTAAAAATGAGAGATTAACCATAATGTAGTCAATTCAGTTTGACGAATCTGTTCTTTTAGATTTGTCTGATAAACCTTTTATTCTTTAACAATTAGCAGAGGATTAGTTTGGAATTTCAAATATCAATTTCTATAGGAATGATTCTCATAGGATTTATAGCCGAACATTGATTCCACTAGTCCTCATCTCTCTCTCTCTCTCTCAGCACTATTAATGCAATGGACCAGAATTACGATAAACTTTATGATCTACTATAAAAGTCAATGTATGGTCTAGATGTTTAAGTTTCAATCAGCAAATTCTCATCTATCTATCTGAACATTAATTATCCCCAACTTTTAATTAATACTAGAACATTTACATGAAGGTAGGGAAAAGCAAATTTGAATTCATGCGACGCAGGGGGGGCAATGAAAGAGATCACAAATCTCTCATGATTTCATTTTTACATTTAGATGGATTTAGGTCCTCTTTCATTGCCAGAAAGCACCAGAGAGAACTATATTCTATTTGACACAATCAGACTCTTAAAATTTAGATGATTGTCATTTCTTCATAATTTAACATTTATCTTATCCGTAAAAAATGAAATCAATACAAATAACAAAGAAATCAATGTGATCACCAAACTTTAAAACTAATGTTGAAACATGTATAAACTCTGTCCTGTATGATTTTCATATACAATGTCCGCCTCTATATGAATCTTTTCTCGTTGAGATTTATGAATTAAAGTTTGTTCTCACTCTCATGTTATCTACTAGTAATTTATAATTAGATTGTAAAGGGACCACTATTCTTATTATAAATATATTTATTAATAATCAGAAGATTGTGGTTCATTTTAGATCTAACACGAGTTTATTCTCACTCTCTTTTTTACTCAAAACCAGCTCCATAGCTGATCACCTATCAGTTGGAGTAGCGCACAAATTTCGTGAAACCGACGTGTTCCTAACATCAGGTGGGAACCAGGCGCTGCATGTGTCATTGACCGTACTCGCGACGCCAGGCTGCAACATTTTGCTGCCGCGTCCAGGGTTCCCTTTGTATGAGTCTGCGTGCGATCTCCTCGGAATTGAGCCCAGATATTATACCCTGCAACCAACTCGATCGTGGGAGATTGATCTTGATCAGGTTAAATCTATTGCAGATTCGAATACGGTTGGAATTGTGGTTATTAATCCTAATAATCCTTGTGGAGCTGTTTACTCCTCAAACCATCTTCATCAGGTAAATTTTGTTGCAATTTGCATGTTTAAATATTGCATCTTTGAATTGACGAATTGAATAGCATTAACTTGAATTCGACCATTGTGTGATAAAAGTGCTGAAAACTTGTGCATGTAGGCCATGTCGATGAGCAGACATTATCAGCCTATGTGATATATTTGGTAGATAAAATTAATATGCTGCTAAATGAATATCCTAAGATTAATTGTACTATTTTAGCAAATTTTTCTTATTTTTTCAGTTCAAATTATAATGATTTTCCTTTTTTGTGTATTTGGTGCAAATTTATAGTTAGGGAGATAAACTTTTGAATTCACCCATACAACTAAGTAATCATGCTTTCACTTCTATTTTCCAAAATCAGTAATAATTTCATTTTTTATTTTTATCAACATCCAAAATGCAAACTTAGGCCATGTATATTTGCTGAAAAGGATCTGATTTGAACTCCCACATATTTCTGATATTTGTCATCAGACCAATTTCTTAACCACATCTATATGTACTCACTCTACAAACTAATTACCAAATCTAAAATTCAACACGTGTAAGTTTTCCTCCAAACTTTCATCTTAATTTTGCAGATAGCTGAAACTGCAGCAGCCTTGAACATTCCTCTTATCGCCGATGAAGTTTATGCACATATGGTCTTTCGAGGTAACAAGTTTGTTCCAATGGTCACTTTCGCTCACTTGGCACCCATCATCAACATAGGATCATTCTCAAAACGCTGGATGATTCCTGGTTGGCGTTTCGGATGGGTAGCCATATGTGATCCTCGCGGATCTCTTAAACAAGTAAGGGCATCAAATCTTCAGATAATATACCTTTCAGATTTATCTTACCACAGTTTAGTTTTATTAGAAGTTTTGTTGATTGATTGAATCAAGATTGAATAGAGCGGTAAGATGATTGCTATCAATGAATTTACAATCCTATGCTGTAGGAAGTTTTTCTCTTGAGCACATTTTTAGTTATTTGCATTTTCAGGTTAGGGGTCCTTTTAGGAAAAGTTGAAAGTTAGGAAGGTGAAAATTCAGAGAGGTTTAGTGGAATAAACAAAGTTCAGAGGGTGTTCGTTCAGGGTGTTCTGTGAAATTTTCCCATTATATAAATCCATTGATTTTTACAAATTCAACACAACACCATCCTCATCTTTTTTTTTCACCCCCCTCCCTTTCTTATAGGTGAGGAGTGCAATGGAGATGCTTATGAATGTGTCTTCAGGTCCAGCTTCAGTGATTCAGGTTTATCTCCATAACCTCGTACTTCCTTTTTCAGAATAAATTTATACTCAGACTTGCTTATTCTCCTAATTTTACAACAGGCTGCAGTTCCTGCTATTCTATCAGATCCCCATGAAAAATTTCACAACAATGTGCTTACCATACTCGAGTCCTCAGCAAATACACTTTATGAGAGAATTAATCAGATAAAAGCACTGAAGTGTCACTCAAGACCTCAAGGCTCCATGTTTATGATGGTAAAAACTTATCATTTGATGTCTTTATAATGTTATAAATTATGGTTAATTAGGTCAATATTTTGGCAGGTTGAGATAGATACAAGCCATCTTCTTGGAATCAATAATGATATGGAGTTTGCTAAGGAGTTGATGAGAGAAGAATCTGTTCTGGTTCTACCAGGTTAGATTTATAATTTGAAACTGAACATTATGTTTCTGTCCATATTATGAGAATCTAGCGTAAACTTTTATCATTTTATGAGTAACTAGCATGTTTAAGTTTTATAATTAATAGCGACACACCCTTTTTCTAACTTTGTTGAAATTTGAAAACAGTAACCACTCTGTTTCGAGGACTTAGGTTTCTTAAGGTCCGATGTTAGAACAACTTTGTTGCCTTTTCTAAAAGAATGTTGCTATATCATGGTAATAATTTATAAATAAAGTTTGTGATAATGTTAACAATAAACATGCTCGGTTTTTTATGATGAAAATTTACTAGTGAATATAGTAGTTTCTGACAATTTATATGATTACTCCGTTTGCATGCACGTAGACTGGAAATTCAGAAGATGGCCAAGAGAGATTTCAAAGTTGCACATTGAAAGATTTTACAAAATTAGATATTGCGATCATCTTGAAGAGATAACCCAAATGCTTAACATAAATTATTCAGGAATACTTCCTTTTCCCCCTAATTTGTGTTGTATTTATTCTTTAGGTGCTGTAATTGGTTTGAAGAACTGGGTGCGGATATTCTTCGGAGCTCCAAGTAACCTCTTAGCAGAAGCTTGTGACAGGATCAAGTCATTCTGTGAGAGGAGATGGTCACGAAGTTGATCTCTTAGTTAAACCGATAATCATACAAATCATATGTTCATGGATTTTCAATCCAATAATATGTTATAATTCCTCGATAAAAGGCTGAAGTTTCTTTACTCAAATCTTACTTGGAGTTTAAAGAGGAATGTACGTCTAGTAATTTGTCGATCTCTTAGTTTTTTTCATTTTATTGTTTCTTCTTACTTTGATTTTATGGGTGTGTTCTTGATTGATGCAAGTGTTGAAGTTGCTCTTACATTTCTAATTTGAACCTGCATTGATACTGATTGCTCACTATTTTGTGAATGATGAATAATAAAGGTTGCTGCAAGAATTAAAGATTGAGGATGATGAAGGTGAAGAGGACGGTGTATAAAGTACTGACGATGGACCCATTAACGTGGATGATGATAAGAGGAAGACAAACGATTTTAGCATAAATGAAAGCGCTACAATATACACTAAGAGATGGATAATAACTTAGTTCATTCTTAAGAAGTTAGAGGTTACTTGATTGAGAGAATAATTTGAGAGGCCAAGACAAGTTAGGAGACTTTTTTTTTAATATAGGAATCGAACCCAAGCCAAATTAGGAGACACGAAGATTATATTATCGTAGAAGGAAAAAAAGATTATCCTAAGCAAATTCAGTTGAAAACAGAACCCTCAAAAAGAACTGAATTAGGCTAAATATCAGAAACTTCCCTTTCTTACTTTCACTTTTCTAACTGAATTAGGCTAAATATCAGAAAAAATTTCCTTTCTTATTTTCACTTTTCTCAATTTTTGGTTTGTTAGGGGCTGTTTGGTTCGCTTTTTAACCCGTGGAAAAGTTTTATACCACCTCCACATAGGATTTTTCGTGACCACGTTGAATATAAGCTTTCCATCGGTTTTTTCCCCTCTTTGGTTCGCTAGGGTTGAAGAAGGGAAACGATGGAAAAATCGCCGCCATATCAGTTTTTTTCTCTCCCCCAATTCCTTTCTCAACCTCGTCTAATCGACAAAAACTGCAGCCACGTCGGCTTTTTGCTTTCCTTGTTGATTTCTTCGGTGAGCTATACTTACCTCCTTGCTCTCCTCCCGCCAGAAACTCCTGCAACCTTCTTTGTCCTTGTATTCGAAGAAAATTGGGGGAGGAAGGTCTGATCTTTGCCGACAATATTCAGATCTGATCTTTGCCGACGTTGTTGCTTTCATAAATCAAGGTAAAAATATGATTTTTTTTTTATTTTCTTATTATTAGTTTAATTTACAGCAATTATCTGAGAATTTGGGGGAGGGGGTCTGAACTTTTGTTGACACAATTTTTCTGATTTTCGAAGCAATTTTTTTGAGATTTCACGGATAAGAAAAGATGATTAAAAACCTTCGAATATCCAATCATTGAGAAAATTTTGAAATTTCGTAAAATTTCTACGGTTTTAGAATGTGTTTTTTGTTGTTTTAGCATTATTTTGATGGGTTTTGAGAAATTTCTGATGCATTGTTTGTATGTCTTTGTCCACGAACACTACAGTGACGATTAAATGACATTTTGATATATTTACCATGCTTGAATAATAAAACTCTGATCTGTTACAGAGCTGATCTTCATCTAGGGCATTCTTTAATACTTATCTTTTTTTTTCATAACGCAAAAGGGGCTAGCTCTGATCAAAGAACGTGTAGATATACTAATAATTTCTTAACCTTTTTTTCATAACGCAAAAGGGGCTAGCTCTGATCAAAGAACGTGTAGATATACTAATAATTTCTTAACCTCACAGGAGAATTAGGAAGGTTCTCCAATGTGATCAAAGAACGTGTAGATATACTAATAATTTCTTAACCTCACAGGAGAATTAGGAAGGTTCTCCAATGAAATGTGCATGGTCTGCTCCTAATATTTCCTGACTATTCGTGTGAAAAGTTCTGAAATTAAGTGATTCTTGTTCTTGAATTAGTATATAGTATCCATATTATAATTTTAACCAGTGTCAGCGTGTTGTTAATGTAATTTGTCATTGTTTGGAACTTTGAACATTTAGAGAAGTGAGGAACTGGGACTAAAAAGTGGATTTTATAGCTAAGAAACCAAATTTTTACATAGAACTTTCAATTGACACATTGAAGATCAATTTGTGGTTTTTTTAATTATATGATTATTAGATAGTATGAAAATGTTAATGTATCGTGTTGTTAATGTATTTTTTCTCATTTTAGGAGCTAAAAGTTCATATCTTTGTTAATTATAAATGTTACTTATGTCACTATAATATTTTTTTGCTTAGATATTGCGGTAATCCATGTTAGTTTTTCGTAAATTATAATTTGTAATTTATAATTTGTAATTTATGATTTGTAATTTGTTCAGATTTTGTTAGAATTCGACTTTTTAGTTTCTAACTGGATAATGATTTTTTGCATCGTAGATGGATAAAGATGGTGATTGTTCCGATGAACAAAGTGGTGTTAATATGGTTTAATGTGCTGCCATATTCGTTCTAATTATAATAATTATTGTCATAAGGAGAATGCAAGCAAGACGTAAATCAATTCGTAGTGGTCCAAGTAAGGAAAAAAAAGACAAGAGAGAGCTAGAATTGAGCACATAGAGCGAATTTATAATGGTTTTAGTGATCGTTGCGTGAATTATATTAGGATGCGGAGTGATGCTTTTGTTAAACTAGCGAGTATAATGAGGAACAATAGCCTGCTAAAAAACTCAAGGAATGTAACAGTGGAAGAACAACTTATCATGACACTGAACATTCTGAGTCATAAATCTAAAAATCGCATAGTCAAACCTCATTTTATAAGATCAAGGGAGACGGTTAGTAGATATTTCAACAAGGTATTACAAGCAATTATTTGCATGCGTGGACGGTACATAAAACAAGCCCCCAATGACATTCCCCAAGAGATCGTTAACAACCCGCTATACTTCCCTTATTTCAAAGTATATCTACACTTTAAGCACATTTAAATGTATAATCAATGAAAGTAAATCTTAATTTAGATGTGTGATACACGTATTATAGGATTGCATTGAAATGATAGATGGGACTCATGTTAATGCTATGCTTCCGATTAATCTTGTTGCACGCTTTCGAGACCGTAAATGTGTTTACACAGAATGTGCTTGCAACTTGTACCCCAAACAAGTTGTTCACATATGTTCTAGTAGGTTGGGAGGGGTCTGCAAATGATTATAGGATTCTTCAGGATGCATTGTCTAGACCACAACCACATGGATTAAGAGTTTATGATGGTAATTAAATAAAGACTTCACTTAAAATTTATTAAGTTTACTATTCAAACTTGACTTAATAATTTTCTTAATAAAATTGTAGGCAAATATTATCTGTGTGATGCTAGGTACTCAATCATGTCAGGATTCATCTCTCCATACTGAGACGTTCGATATCATTTGAAAGAACATTCAGGTAAAGCACCTAAGAATAGAAGGGAATTATTCAATCTAAGACATTTAGGGATGACATTACTTGGGCGATGTGGGTAGACTACTGTGATAAGTATAATCAGGGTGTAACCACAGAGAATTGATTTTTATTTATATTTTATTTATGCTCATTCACATGTACTCAACAACTCTATTTCCATTAATGTCGTTCTGTTTTTAATTCATGTATTCATGTTTTGCTTTTTCAGTTATCTAACTTTCTCTATTTAATTAGTAATTGCTAATAATACATCATTGAGTGGGAGAGATAATCAAAAAGACAAGGGGGTAGTTCAATCACCTTCCCCACCACCTCAACCCCCTCAATCTGTGCATCACGGCGATTGTGGATATTTTTCATTTCAGCAGTCGTACTTTGTACAACCACCTCAAGCATACCTGAACATGTCATTCCATGATAGCAGCTACTTTCCAATGCACCATAATCTGGGGTCATATACGAACAAGCTGAATTCTCCAATATTTCCTCCACAATTTCACAGTCCTAATCTTAGTGGGGTGCAACTTTCTCACACTAGTGGTGATGGATCTACTCCCGAATCAAGTTCCAAACGTGACCTCCTAGAAGAAGGGGTAGAAACATCGCCAGATCCAAAGAAGAAGAGGAAAAATACCACATTTAAAAAAAATGGTGAAGCAAGTGGTTCTCAAGGGACCAAACATTTGTTCTGGGATTCCCGTTATGATGATGAGCTCATTCCATTTCTTGCCGACTTAGTAAGAAAGGGTTACAAACACGAAAAGTTTTAAGAGAATCATTTTTCATATGGCTTCTCAACACATTAATGAGAAGTTTAACACAGTCTTTAAGTGGGATAATGTCATGCACCGCATCAAAACTCTACGAACAAGATTTCGTGATATGAAAACTTATCATAATCTTAGTGGTGTTGGATAGGATGATAGTACGAAGACTGTCATCATGGATCCTAAATGTTTGGATAGGTGGATTGTGGTAAATAAAGTCTGGTTAAAGAATAGATTTAATTTATATTTATTTTGCTTATTTTCACAGAATTAATTAAAGTATATTTTTTCAGGACAAGAGCTTTAAGAATGCTAAGCTTAGACAATATGTCAATAAACCCTTGAGGCGTTATGATGATCTCGCCCTTATCATTGGTGATGATCAAGCAACAGGACAATTTGCTAGTGATGTTTAGAAAAGGTTTAACCGTAGTGAGACCATAAATCTTGAAGATGAGACGAACTCACCAATACATTCTCCCTAATCTACTCAAATACACATTCTAGATGGCGAGGACACTCCTCTGCCTAAGGAAGCACCCAACACATCAAGTTCTAAGGCTAAGTCATCCTCCGCCAAGGTAAAGGCTCGTAAGACCAGCCTAGATAGTGAGATCAAGTTAAAAATGATGGATTAGATAGATGTATTTAGCACAAACATGAAGTGTGTGAATATACATTGGACCGAGAAGTTATCAACGGTCCTATATACTCATTCACATGACTTTAGTGTTGCCAAGTTAGATACATACTACCATCACCTTTTATGAATGAGCATGAATCTAGACTATTTATGGGCATATCTTTGGATGGTCAGAAGGAGATGATAGAGTCATTTCTCAACAAAGAGGATTGAAGATATATAGATTATGGGTATGCGTGGTAGTTTATGATTCTCACTTAAGCACATTTATGTTTGAAAACTTTTTTAATTATGGTTGAAGACTATTATTGTTTAGTTTAGAGACACTACTTTTCTGAGATGATGTTTATTTTTGTGGTTGTCGAACGGTATGACAATGACT